TGACTAATTTTGAAATATTGGTTCATACAGTCCAAACGAAAATTACAGAGTTACTCAGTAAAATTAGAAAACCATATCGTAAATCGTTCATTTGCAAAATAACAGTTCATCATATCGAACTGGACTGTTCCTGTTGCAAAACATCAATCCATTGTCACTATTCATGCGTTTCATACAAATTCCATTGTTTTCTAACTCTTCTTTTCTTGATCTTCCCCCATATTATGCTGCCAGACATTACGTTGACACTCACATCATATACTACTTATAAGTAGCTCACACCACAGTAGTAGTAGTATTCTTTACTGCATTTACAACACCTGTAATGGAAGTAATTTGAGAAGGCGTTATTGATTTTCATCATTCCTAGTACTTAGTGTAGTCATCAAACTAACTACTAACCATTTTCATTGAAATCATTAATCGGTCAATGTTAGATGAGGTCACACAATATCGTGGGTTGATTGAAGTTAGACATTAAAACACCAGTGAACCACGGCTCAATGATCAAGAGGATACCACTGATGAACAGTTGTTCCATAGTAGGATGAAACAGCTGTCTTTCAGTGATTCCATGCTTCTAATAATGTGGTCAAACATTGATTTATGATTTATGATTTGAACGAAACTCAGTAACCGTTATAATAACAATAGTAATTTTATTGGGTGTATTAGTCATTCTGATTTTTTAATTAATGTCATAAAGGGATAGTTCGCTCGCTGCATAGAAAATTTGTTTATTCTACTGGTTTTGACTTAATTATATTACTTACTACCTTAAAGTAATATTGATTGATATATATAGATTATACATGCAAAAAATAGGTAATCAGTGTATTAATAATATTGCACCTATTGACATTCATGTCATGTTAAATAAACATTTTTATAATAAACCACATCGATATATACATTTAGATTATAGAAGTTTTGTTCAATAACTGTTTTCATTTCTGTAATTAATTAGTTAACATGCTTTGTTTTATGTGTAGAATAAAGTTTATTTTATAATCCCTAGTTCTATAAGCAAAAGAGATTACATAATTAAAGACAGGAAAACAAACACTACAAGTATTTTCAGATAATACTATATATGAGCTGCATTGAATTCAGGAATCGATCAATATTAGTCTACCAATGGAAACCTGGAAGTACTGAAGGACGGTCGTTTTGTCCTAGTATGGGACTCTTTAGTAGTGCATATCCATGACCCCGCTAACTGGAACCGAACCTAGGACCTACGGTTTTACATGTGAATGCTTAACCTCGTAAGCAATGAGCTGTTGGGGACGTTCGATCCCCAGAACTCATTTGACAAAGGTCCTAATTTTGGATTTTATGCTTCCGTGCATGGGCTGATCAGTTGACCTTGAGATCACATCTCGCACCAGGAAAATCCCCTGCTGTGATTGGTTGATGTGTGATTTTAGTATACTATTTTTGTAACTCTTTCAAGGACGTTTGAATCATGTATAAATAAACGCAATTTGTGTGCTTGAGATAACTGTGTTTGCTGGGTGTTTGTAGAACACACTTTCTACGCCGTTCCAAGGCTTTTTCGTCGATTCCTTTAGGGCAGCGGATCAGAGTAGCCTATCGTGTCACTGGTTCAATGTCTCGTTCTCATTTATCGACTAAGGTGAACTCTTAATAGTCTCAAGCATATCAAGTGACGAGCATAACATGAGCCCGCATCCGACGGTGTCAATGTCTAACTTTGATCGATTTACATTCTTGCGAGACCTCATCGATTATCTTCAGTAGGCACTACTTCACACCCAACAGGGTTGGACTCCAATGATTACGACGTCTCGCTAGAACTTCTAACAACAATTCCTGTAAATTCACCACATAATCATCCTAATCATATATTTAGCTGATTGGTAGATCAGTTGATTTTCTAGTATTTCCTGAAGAAGCACAGTTGAATTATGAAACCTTTATTGTTATATCTAGATAACGTTATCAGTGCAAACTTCACTTTGTTCAGTAATTGGAACCTTAAACTGGAGACGTCTAGTTTCAATTATCAGATTGCTTGAATATCACGCACATTACGCCGGGAAATGGAAAGAGACATGAAAATGATGAACAACAATTGGACAGATTGGGAAAAGAAGGCGAAGAACAGAGTAGGTTGGGGTATACTGGTCGGTGGCCTATGCTCCATTGAGGGTAACAAACCAAAGTAAATAAATCATGCTTGGTTTATTTTGTAATTATTGTAGATAATTTTTCATTATTCAACAATAGTGCTCATCTTTTCTTCTACTCTTGTCTTTTTCAGATTTGTACAAGCTACTCTAAACAGTCTCTTAGCGCACAAAATGCCTGCAGGATAGACATAAAAACTTACCAGAGGCTTCATGTTGCAATTTTCCTTAACCACTTTGGTCACCACGTTCAAGAATAGCTTTTGACAGAGTTTCTTAGAGTTCCAAAACAACACTAGTAAACGTACTAGGTGTAAAGTCACCTGTTGAACTGACGCAGTAGTGCCTTCCCGAAAACTAGGAGGAATTTTGCACGTGTATCGGCCACACTGTACTCATGGAATTTAGCTTTTGCGTAGAAGAATCAGTTTTCTATATTTTCAGGCCAGAATGATGTGAGCTGTGAAATGATGGATGAGGAATAGAGTGGGAATAAAATACATAAATATATGGAACGTTACAACAGAAAGAACCAACTCATTGTATTTTGTTTGTGATGTGTGCCTTGTCCAATGCTTTCAGTTAAATTTATTTTTTCGGAAAGTCAAGTTGGTTTAGTAAGATTGAAAAAACCCAAGTCTAATTAGCATGAAAATAAATCATTCTGACCTTTAGAAATACATGTACACATAGTAAGTTATTAATTAATCAATGTTAAATACCAGTCAGTAAAAATCATACCAGTTTGACTATTAATCGAACTGTACATAAATCATATTGTTGGGGACGTTAGATCTCCAAAAACTCACTTGAAAAAGGTCCTAATTTTGGATTTTATGTTTTCCAGCATGGGCTGATAAGTTGACCTTGAGGTCATGTTTCCCATCCAGAAAATTCTTGACTGTCATTGGTTGGTGTATTATTTTAATGAGCTATCTTTGTGGTCTTCCCAAGGATTCTGTCATGCATAAACAGACTCGACTTATGTGCTTGTCGACCTCATAATTTTCGGGTTCTACGCCATATAAAGACTGCTTTCTTCAGTTAGACGGGGCAACGGATTGGAGTAGCCTATCGTGTCACTGGATCATTTGTCTTCACTGGTGTTTACAGACTAAGGTGAACTGGTAATAGTTCAAGCATATCAACTGATGGGCATGACAGATATAAAAAGTAGTGTATTCATCTATCATTGCCAGGGTTAAATAAATCTATATCAACAATCTTTGGGTTTTTCCCTTAGTGTCATCGAATTTGGCTCCTTAGTAACAAACACAAGTTACTTAAGCATTCAGAAAACATGAAAGTGACTGACAAAATGGTTTGTGATACACCAGGTCGCGTACATAAGGTTTTACTACTTTACCGTTAAAAATTTCTCTTCAGAGGGCGATCCTGAAGCCAAGTAAGACAAAGTACTTTCATCTAGGGACTTCATCCTAGCGATTAATTATAAAGCAAGCGACCGAAATCTCATCGATAGTTAAATGTTTCAGGTGACCATATTTTTTTTATTCATTCAAAGTTTACAAGTTGTTGAAAAGTGCTTATAAGCCTTTCGACTGACTATCCTATCTGTTTATAAATCTCTATAATCATTAGTCACTACCATTAGAAACCTGAAACTGCTGGACATACCTTCCGCCCTGGTATGATACTTACTCATCATCAGTGCGCACCCACAACTCCTTCTACTCGCTACATGGCTCGAACCCACGATAGGAGAACGCTAAAACTTTGAATCACTGGACCATTAATAAAAAACACCAGCCTCCATAACTCTCTCTTGAAAAATCAATAATGATTGTGTTCTGTGAATGCTCAATATGATTGGCCTAAAGCTTGGTTACACAACACTAAACAAACTGTTGACCAAATCATGTGTTTGCACTATTATTATTATTATTATTACTGTTATTTTTATGATTGACTGATCGATACAAATGTTGTAACTTATCATCTGGTTCAAAAACGAATTTGAAAATTATATGCACCTTTTAGAAAATATTTTTTTTGATTACAAGGTCTCTCTCACTCAATATTTACATATTCATATTCATTGTAGGTCAAAGTGACAGTTGAAATAGATTTCAATTTTCAATGGTTTTAAGAGAAAATGTTACATTTTGATCACTGGTTACTTTGTTTGATAGTAATGTTGTGGTTTATTGATATTTTTCTTTACAAATATATTTTGTGTGTATCAAAACTTGTTGAAATGAATTTGACAGAGAACATGATCATGGGTAATCTTGAAAGTTCTAGTGAGAAACCAATGCGGTTCAACCATATCAGATGTGTGTGTGTGTGAGAGAGAGAGAGAGAAGTCCACTGTTATTATCAACAGATAACGGAGCAACATAGTCCGTAGGTTATGCTTTCATCACAAAACCAGGCGGTTCTTGAACTGCACACATGCTGAGTTCATCAACAAGTACTTTCAAAAATAAATTACTGAACTTGAAAACTTATTTTTCTGGTTAACGGTTTTTCAGCTAGTTGGATTTCTATGGGATAGGATCGCCTCGAAACCCTAAGCACAACACCTTCTGCTTTTTATCCAGGCTCAGGACCGATGAATAACCCTAGAAAAGCTCCAAGTGGAATTATCTAAGGTTAACACTATTGAATATCATTATTACTACTATTGTCTTAATTAGAATAATGTCACGTATTTCTTTCTAAACTTTCATATACATAAAAAATATCTTCTAAATCAACTCACTTTCACTAATCAACCAATACTATCTATACACATACACTCATAAACACACACACACACACATTCTAATAATGAAAAATCAACTGACTATATTGTACTCAACCAATGAAAACTCTCTGTTCAAGGTTAAAATGGTGTGTGTTCTTGTTGAGTAGATGATAGTGTGTTGTAAATCAGTAAGTACTCAATCTATGTATATATAAATTACAACATTCCATTGCACACTTTAACAACAGCACTATTATTCATAACGAGTGGCAAAAGTACATGAACTGAATAGAGAAACTCAGTGGATTATTCTACAACTTCAAAAACTATTAATCACGTTCATTATCAATAAAAACAACAGAAACAGTGATATTAATAATAATGATCATTGAACTACGTCGATTGGGTGTCAGTTTGTTATGCATAGCAGTCGGTTTGAGTATTGCATCACTGATTACAGGTCTTTGGGATTGTGGAAATCTATTTGCATCATGTCAAAATACTTCTTATAAGGAGACTGTATCAGCTGTTGCGGGATTAATCATTTTAGGCACTGTTTGCCTATTAATCATCATTCTACTGGATGCCATTGCATTGTATTCAGATGTATTTGCAGCACGTGCTTCTTATACAACTATACGTTTCATCATTTTGTATTTGGGTGCAGCAGCTCTATTGATCGGTGTCTTAGTGTATACATCACTTGTTGGACATCATTGGTCATACTTTTTTGCAGTGACTGGAGCTGTATTAGCTACACAAGTAGCTATATTAGCAATTATGTCGTCAAAATGTGTCACTGTTCGAAGTACTACAACAACCAGAACAATTAGAGAAACTCGATTGGCACATCGGTAAACCATTGAATGACCAGTTCGATTATTTCATTTCATTTTTCAAACATTTTAAAACATATGTTCTCATTTTTTTTGTGATCGATCAATTTTGCTTCAGTTAATTACACATCTTGTAGATTTGACAGTATTCAATGTACCTGTTTTATGGTTAAATGTTCAAATGATTGTTTCATTTTCATGTTTTTTCGAATATAAATATCATATTTATACATAAAAATTACTGAAATGAGTTTTGATTGACTATGCAGTGTATGATTACAATGGGTTTGTCAGATGTTTAACGTGAAGATATACATTACATTATCGATGAGTGTTGTGTTTCTGATTGGCGTTATTTCAGGATGTGATATGGTTGAATGTAGTACGCTCACGAGACCGCATTACTAACCTAAACCAATGCCAAGATGAGATCATTCAGCAGAACGACAGGTGACTTATCGAATAAACTAATATGTTTGAATAGCCATCCTAAACGGAGGAATATTCACGTCTTACTGTTGGCATGGATTGGAGCAAGTCAGTTTCATAGGTCCCTCACTTTCTAAGAAGTTGAGATCCGATTACTAAGATATATGCCTGTCTGCTAGCTTGGCTGCCTATCTGTCTATCATATCAGATTTGCCAATGTTGAGGTGAGATTATTCTGTAGAATCACAGGTGACTTATCGAATAGAATAATATACTTGAATAGACATTATAAACAGAGGAATAAGCACATGTCACTGTTGGCAGGGAATGGAGAAAGTCAGTTTTACAAGTCATTGACAGTCTAGTGAATTGAGATCAGATTATTTGGGTTAATAACGGTCTAGTAGCTTACTAATATACGTGCCTGCCTGTCAAATTACATCACCGACTCACTGTTCAAGTTAACTGAACACTGAGTCATTAGAGAACAGTAGACAGATGATAACCATTGAGAAGTTGTCGAAATAAGCTGAGAAACTGTCTTCTCAACATTGACGATTAGAGGTTAGAAATTTAGCCATACTCCTTCATCAAAATATCTAACTAACTTGATTCAATCATTATGTTAGCTGAGATGAAGAGGAATAATTTCAGCCTATTCCTTCATTATCTCGGTTAAAGACGATGCATACGCCTAAATCCTAAGTACCAATTCATATCTCATTCGATTAGGTGTGTAATACGTAGTCACATTCACATAAACGATCAACAATTTTCTACCAAAATAAATGATTCCTCTAATCATTCAAGTTGATCTGGTCAGTAGGACAATGTAGTCTAGAACATTAGAGATGCATTCGGATGTATGAACACTAAGTTCAAATAATTCAATTACCTATTAGATGTTACAAGCCCTTACATGGAACCCTCAAGGCAAAAGGAAAAGAGGAAGGTCAAAGAACACATTACGCCGAGAAATAGAGAAAGATATGAGAAGAATGAACAAAAATTGGACAGAACTGGAGAGGGAAGCCCAGGACAGAGTTGGTTAGAGAAAACTGGTGGGCGGCCTATGCTCCATTTGGGGGTAACAGGCGTAAGTAAGCAAGTAAGTACCTATTAGATGTTCATTGTATTCTATGCTTAGCCTAAGCTGAAGCCGTCTTCTTGGATCACTACTCATAGACCAGAGGAAACAGAAAATGTGATATTACGAAACTTTGTCTATCGCTACTTTTTACTTGGAATGTTTATGTAAACTGTCCTTTATTCACGACTTTGCATTTTAAACTTATGCGACAGTTCTGAATCACAATGACAATCTTTTGATATACTTCATTGTGTTGAAAAGGACTCCGTTTGGGTTATTCTGCACACACACACACATGAAACATCTCTCCTTGCGGTCTACTGATACTTGTTCTTCCTAAAATAAAGTACGGCATCTTTGTAATTACTTCTATGTCTGACTTCAGTTTATCAGCTAGTACATTGTGCTCTATCCTGCTGCTTCATCACTCTTCGTTTACCTGATAGTCACACTGATTTCTTTCTTTGTTGGTAAGATATCATCTATAGCCAGGTTTACTTTATCTTGAGTTTTAGCTTGGCCATCACAAGGTGGACATCTGATGCTCCACTTCTAGTTCTTACATCTTGTATTGATCTTCTGAGCTTATTAATATAGTAGTTATGATCGATCTGGTTTTCTGTAGTGTGATCCAGTGAAGTTCATGTGACTTTCTGTATATGTTTGTGAAGATAAATAGAGCTACTTATAATCGTTTTGTTGAAAAAATATAAGTCTGCAAGTCCGTTGTAATTGTTACATTGTTTTATTTCAATCCATGTTGCCGATCGATGACTTCATCCCGATTTCGGAGTTCATACTGCCTGCCATTCTTTGGAGAGTATCAGTGAAACTCTCAATTAAGGAGGAATGACATTTTCTATGTCATTATAGGCTTGCCTCCAGTTACTTTCACTCATTCTAATCAAACTAAAGTAGTATTTTATTACTCGGTCTCCTAAACTATTCAGATATATATATATGAAGTGTTGTCTAGGTTGTTAAAAGAGGAGGCATCAGTCTTGCAGCTTTGGAATAATGTCGGCTTTCATCATGAAGTATTATCATTGTTTATATGAAGAGCCTTCAACTCTCAAGGCTGAGTTGAGAGAGAGAGGGAGAAGGCTTCAAGCAGAGTTTATAATTACCTTAACTCCACAATCACGCTGTTTATGTATTTTGACGTCATAATAACTAAAATAAACTATGTTTAAAATAGAGTGAAAGAGAGATTTTCAAAATGTAACGAAGAAAGACAAACGCTGATAACTAAATCAAGATTCTATTCACCGTTAACAAAATGTGGAAGAAATTTTTGAATTTTAACGAGATTTGACGATCAATTAACAAACATCATACATAATTGAGATTTTGGATTTATTTTCCTACGGAATGGGGTGGCCAACTATATACCCAGTCCTCCTCCTTTATCCTGGTTTGGGGACCACAGTAGCCTCAGATGAGGCTCCAGTCATGTATGTATTTTGTGCTTTTAAAGTTGTTTATATTAGAACAGAAAAGAAAAAAAATTGTACATCCAGCTACTGACGAATCCCAAAAGTAGGACGAAATGTGCATTTTGAATTCCACTGCTAGTTACAATTCATCTTTGCTAATAATGTATAACTTTCATGATAGACTTATGCGGATTATTGAGTTTCATTGAAATTATGAATCGATAATTGTTAAACTAGCATTATAGACCTGGAAGCACTGAAAAAGGGCCGTTTCGTCATAGTATGAGATTCACCATCAGTGTGCATCCATGAACACTGTCCGCAAGGATCGGACCCTTGGTCTCATAAGCGAACACTTATTCTCTAGACCACTGAGCTTATATTCAACACCATTAATGTCAAACTTGAATCAGTCTTACTTACTTACTTACATACTTACTTACTTACTTACTTACCTACTTACTTACTTACATACTTACTTACTTACTTACTTACTTACTTGCTTAATTAATTACTTACTTATTTACTTACTTACTTACTTACTTACTTACTTACTTACTTACTTACACACTTACTTACCTACATACTTACTTACTTACTTACTTACTTACTTATGCACTTACTTATGCACTTACTTATGCACTTACTTACTTACTTATTTACTTACTTACTTACTTACTTACTTACTTACTTACTTACTTATGCACTTACTTACTTACTTACTTACTTACTTACTTACTTACTTACTTACTTACTTACTTACTTACTTACTTACTTACTTACTTACTAACTTACTAACTTACTTACTTATTTACTTACTTACTTACTTACTTACTTACTTACTTACTTACTTACTTACTTACTTACTTACTTACTTACTTACTTACTTACTTACTTACTTATGCACTTACTTACTTACTTACTTACTTACTTACTTACTTACTTACTTACTTACTTACTTACTTACTTACTTACTTACTTACTTACTTACTTACTTACTTACTTACTTACTTACTTACTTACTTACTTACTTACTTACTTACTTACTTACTTACTTACTTACTTACTTACTTACTTACTTACTTATGCACTTACTTACTTACTTACTTACTTACTTACTTACTTACTTACTTACTTACTTACTTACTTACTTACTTACTTACTTACTTACTTACTTACTTACTTACGCCTCTTATCCCCAGTAGAACAACATTCTGCAACCTACTCTGTTCTTCGCCTTGCTATCTTGTTCTGTCCAGTTGTTTTTAATTCTTCTCTGTTTCTTGGCGTAATATGTTCTTTGGTCTTACTTTTCTCCTCTGTCCTTCAGAGTTCTAAATAAGGGCTTCTCTTGGGACCAACCAGAAATAACAGTTTCATGTTTCTTTTTAAATATGCCATAACACAAAATGATGTACGATTCGGCATAATTTGAATCAGTAAATTCTTAACTTCTAACACGTAATCAGTGACCTCCTTATTCAAAACAGTGGTTCCCTTTGATAAATTTGAATAGAGAAATAAGAAGACATATTTTGTGAGATAGTACCATTTCGTGCTTTCTCGTCAGTCACATACAAGCAACATGTTATTTGTGTAAATACAGTTTTGAAGATAAGGTCAAAATTTCTTATTTAGCATGACATTCACTCACTAGAACCATGGTAAACAAAGGTCAACACACAGTTGTTTTTGAACACATAAAGTTGGACTTTTACGACCAATCAAGATAGCTTCAAGTAGTTTTAGTGTGTGTGGGTTTTGATTACATGTCACAACTCTAAAGGCTGATTTTGGATCAATTTGATGACCACTCATCATTAGGTGTTTTGCAATGGACGAGGCTGGGTTTCTTGATCGATTTTGAAATGATGGGCTAGGTTGATTAATCATGGATTTGATTAACCATTTTGGAATATGTTCCCCTATCCTGTCTTCCAATCGGCGATCTGTCCTCCCTAAGTAACTTTCTCCGCAGTTACATGTGAATTGGTAAATACAGTGGGATTTGGACTGAATCGGTCTTGGAGACTTGATTGGGGTAACTGAGATCGATTGGGTTGTTGTGATAAGCTTCAGATTAGCTGCATTGAAGGTCTTTTTTATTGCAGCTGCAGTCTGTTTGGTTGTAATTTTCATGCAATGATCACCTTTGAAAGGTAACTGTAGGTACACTGGTTTCTTGGGCACATCAGTTGCTATCAGCTTCGTTGTAGTTGTGTTCTGATGACCAATAAACGTTTCGGGATATCCGTTTGATTTAAGTGTGTCAGTAATAAGCTT